CTTCTTATCGGCAGTTGACTGCATCCCTGTTCCCAAGAATGTTGCAGAAGCCTTAAAATACCCTGAATGGATAGATGCCATGAAGGAGGAGATCGATGCCCTCCACAAAAATCAGACTTGGGAATTGGTGGATCCTCCAGAGGGGAAAGAACCCGTGGGGTGCAAATGGGTGTTCACAGTTAAGCACAAGGCAGATGGAACATTTGAAAGGTACAAAGCAAGACTAGTAGCCAGACTTTTGCTCCAGTGGTTAAGATGAACTCGATTAGGGTTCTCCTATCCTTAACTGCTAACTTTGACTGGGAATTGCATCAACTGGACATAAAGAATGCCTTCCTAAATGGTGACTTGGAAGAAGAGGTATGCATGGTTCAACCTCCTGGATTCTCTGCCAAGGGAAGTGAAAACAAGGTGTGCAAGCTACGGAAGTCTCTCTACGGCTTAAAACAGTCTCCCAAGAGACAAATAATTAGAGTAGATAGGAAGATTAGCTAATGTAGACCTAATTAGAGTAATTCTCCCTCCAAGAGACAAATAATTATTCTTCCAAGTTGCATGTCTCTTTTCAAACCTCTCCATAACTAGAACCCAAAACTCACCTTTCTAAGGATCATCTCCCAATGGCAAACCAAGGTAGCTTAAGGGCCAATTAGATATTGCACACTCCAAAATGTCTACACACTCAAACACCTCCCCCTCCCCCATATTAATTCCAACTATACAACTCTTTTCAAAATTCACTTTAAGGTTTGGCATTTGCTCAAAGAGTTGTATAATGAGCTTCAGGTTTCTAATCCTATTGAGATCCCCTCTTTCACAAAAAGGTATTGTGTCATCTACAAATTGCAAGTGTGTGAATGGTACATTCTCCCTTCCAACTCTCCAACCTCTTATTAAATCCCTGGAATCTACTCTAGAAATTAATCTCCCCAAAACTCCTGCAACAAATGTAAATAAGAAAGGGGAAAGGGGATCTCCTTGTCTAATCCCTCTCAAAGCTGGAAAGAAGTCTACCACTGTTCCATTCCCCAATATGGAGTAATGGCAGTTCCTAATGCAGCCCATTACCCACTTGCACCAATTGTCTCCAAACCTAAAGTTGATCATCACCTCTAGCAGGAAAGACCAATTAACCATGTCATAAGCCTTTTCCAAATCCAATTTTCAAACCACACCTTTTTTCTTGGATCTCTTGAAATCCTCCAAACTCTCATTTTCTATAAGTATCTGATTTGTTATCTGCCTCCCTTTCACAAAAGCTCCTTGGTTATTTGCTATGATTGCTAGGAGCACCTTCTTAATTCTAATGGACAACACCTTAGTGATGATCTTCTAAAGGCTATTAACTAGGCTGATCGGCCTATAGTCCCTCAAGTGATTTGCATTTCTTTTCATGGGAACCAAGGCAATGAATGTGGAATTTAGCCTAGGGTTAATCACTCATCTAGAATGGAATTCATCAAAAACCAGCCTTAGGTCCTCTTTTAATATCTCCCAACAATCTTGATAAAAAGCCATCATAAAATCATTTGGGCCTGGTGCCTTTGATCTATCCATAGAGAACACTGCCTTCTTTATCTCTTCCAAGTCGAATTTCCTTTCCAACCATTCCCTATCCTCTAGTTGCAATGTTGGCCATTCCAACCCCTCAAGCCACACCTATTGTTTAGGGGTCTTCTAAAAATAGTCCTAAAATGATCCACAAAGGCCCCTGCAATTTCTCTTTGATTGGAAATTGTTGGCCCTTCAATCTCTAGACTTGAGATATAATTCCTTCTCTTTCTTCCACTTTCCACAGCATGAAAAAACTTGGTATTCCTATCCTCCTCTTTCATCCACTTACACCTTGACTTTTGTCTCTAACTTATTTCCTCTTGAAAAAGATAGTCCTCTAACTATTTGCACAATTTCCATCTTTGCTCCTTAACCTCTTCTATAAGACAACCCCTCCCTTCTTTGTTATCCAAGACCTCAATTTGTGCAGTCACAATTGGCTTCCTTTCCTCCAGTCTCCCAAACTTTGAGAAATTCCAATCCTTGATTCTAACTTTTAGATATTGGTGCTTTTTGTGAAACCGCATTCCACTCCATTCCACTATTGGATTGCTCTCTAACCACCATTCTTTGACTTTCCTAATGAATCCCAGGTGTCCTAACTAGATATTGGAGCTTTTTTCTGATGAATTTTCCTAATTGGTTTCATTCTATAGAAAACATAGAACTTGGACAATGTTTCTCCACTACATCCTGTCCAAATAAAAATAGAAAGAAAAATGCAAATATTATTAGAAAAATGACATAAATAGTAAAGAGGGCTACAGATTGGAAGGTACCCTCTTCTTCTTCTTCTTTGACAACAAGCAAGAGTTGGAAGAAATTGTGAACAAGAAGGTACCAGGCAATGTTATACTCCTGGTTGGGTGTTCATAAACCGTTTAGGAGAAAACCATACAATTCTTATTTTGATACAGGAAATCATTTTATATGATCAAAGGGGTGAACACGATATAGAATTTTTTGTATATTCCCCATTGTACAGTTCCCTAGTGTACATAGGGCTTGTGCAATTATCTCTAATTAGTTTCATTAATACAAATCTATACTCTTATCTACTTCACCACAAAAAAAGTCTTTCTTAGTACTTACTCATCGAGAAACATATTATGCTCTCTGTGATGGAAGTTTCTGTACAATATGGAATCCTCTTTTCTAAATGATCAACTGTGCTTCTGTATATTTTTTCCAGGCCTGAATCTTTTGATGGAAAAAGACTTCTCAGTGAGCCACTTGAGCCCGGTGGACTATTTCCAATAAGAAAATCCCAAGATGCTGCTGTTGGTTCTCTTGTACGCATGCTAAAGACAGCCCCACCTCTCCATCATGACTCCAACTCCTTCAAGTTGTCACGTGCGTCTGAGCCTGAAAACAGGAGCAAGAGCACCAAAGAAGCTGAGGAGACCTCTGACTTGGAAGTGAAAGAGGTTCAGAATACTGCATCTTGTTCAAGTTTCACGTCATCTAGACTTCTTATGTCTAAGACAACTGCTGATGCATTGGAAGAGCTCCAGGGCTACAGAGAGATTAAAGAATTGTTGCTCAGGCAAAGTAGTAGGTCCCAGACAGTAGCCAATGATGCCCATGTAGCACAATCTGTAAGTGGAGACACAAAGTGATTTTGAGCTTTTCTTGCCATAGGAAACCTGTACATATGTGCATCTTTCTATTTGAAGTGGTCTTGCAGGCACAGATGGGGTTTGTTCAGCAGCCCTCTTATGGAGCCTTTCTTCACATATATAGAAAATGTATAGCCATGCTTATAATAGAACTCACGTATGGTTTCACCATGTTCTTAATTACTTCCTATGTAATTATGTATAAAGCACTTCTCATACTTGATGGTTCATATATAATTGTATATAGACGGAAAATTGAATTATGGGTGCATCCAGCCATGACCTGTTTTGCTCTTCACAATGTTTAATTTTTGCAATGTTATGCTCTGTTTGCACAATAATGGGGGCAACAAGCTAAAGGTTTAAGACCTGACCATCATTTAACCATGGAGCGGGCAATTAGGTAACATTTATGGCACAAATAAGTAAGGTTGACTTGTGATTTCATGTACTTTGAACAAATGAACGAAGTTTTCATGTTGCTTATGTTCCTTTCTGATTGGTTCTTATATACTCGAGAAAGATCAGTCATGTTCTAGATTTCTTGCTTATATCATTAAACCTCTCTCTCTCTCTCTCTCAGAGAAGGATAAAAGGAATTTCTACTTAATTCATAGCCATGTTCTTGTTGCAAATGACTGGATTTAGAACACCCTTTGGAGATGTTATTGGAAACTAGTCAAACATGTACTAATAAAGAACTTCGATACTCGTTTGTTACATGGAAAAATATGGGCGGAGAAATACCTTCTGCAATTGATTGGGTCGAGCCAAATTCAGACTCTTCACCCAAACATTAACCAATAGCTATATGAATCCAACTGGCCTGCCTGATATGTCTAACCTGGAAAAAAGCAGGGACAGGTTTACAAACCCATTTGGTTTGATCACTAACCCATGTGTAATAAAACCAGAAACCTGACAGCCTAGTCACCCTATGAACCGTAGTTCTAAAACTAATCGAATCAATTCAGGATGATTCCTCCTCAAATGGATTTTGAGATATATATAATTTTCTTAAGTGCTTTTGTGATTTTTTAACTCTTAATTCATAAACTTGTATTGATGTATGCTTTCATGTACATACAGGAATTGAACTTATTAATGGACTCTATGGCAATATGTATATAGACCGACTGCTGAACCACTAAATATACTCAACCCAACTGACTCGACCAGCTTTTGAGTCGAATCGAGTTTTTTGAGTTTGGGTCCAGGATCCAGGGTCCAGCGGACCCATAACTTGCCACCTGTCTTATTTTTTCCAGGAATCAGGACTACCATTATCGAAAGGGTCCCAACTAAGTTATGGTTATAACATAAATCAGATTATACCACCTGATTTTAGCATTATTTGTAGAACTTTCTAACTTAGGGTGCGCTTGGTTTCTGAAAAAAAAAATTATTGGAAAAGAGAAATAAGAGTGGAAGATGAGCACCTGATTTGAAAATTTTACACACAACACATTGAGACAACCCCATTCAAATTTTAAGAATGCTCAACATGAACCAAGTTTTACCCTCAACTTTCTGTTCTTATTTTCCATCAAACCAGACACAGCCAATGCTCAGCTACTCTTGTGACTGTGGAATGTGATCCCAAGTCTCTGATATAACTAGGGATGGAATTTGATCGGGTTCAGGTTGGTCTTTTGTCAAAATTTGAATTGGCCCAGCCTGAAGTTCCAACTGGAAGCAATGTAAAATGCTAACCTGGGCCAATCCCAGTTGCACTCCCTAGCTATAACCTGTCAGAGAATTAGATCTGTTCATGGGCCAGACTCAGTCTCAGCTTTTGCTAGAATTTGAATGGGCTCGGTTTGAAGCCAAAGCCCAAAGCAGTGTAAAATGTTCATCGGCCGAGCCCAAAGCCTGGTCTATGAACAGGTAGGTATACAGAGATTTTACCAAATGAGCCAGCATCAATTGGTCTCCACACAACATTAGTCTATACAGCCATGCCTCAATCACTTAAAAAAATAGACTATATGATAAAAGAATAGATTATACACATACACACATACATAAGTACATAGATACATACATACACAAACAAATAATAAAATCTGTTTCCACAATGATTCAAAGTTTAAAGAGAACCTACTGTATATCCACTCTCTTTGGGCATATTGATCAGATTCTTGGAGGATTTTCCTGGGAGCTGAATTTGTGACCGCGCCTTCTAAGATTCTAATCACGGTCTGGTTGTGCTTGGAAGCATAACTTTTAGGTTTGATGTTATGTGGCTTACAGAACTTCTCTCAATGAGGTTGCTTGCCAAGCTTGGGCATGAGGGTTTGTAGATATAAAGAGGTCTTAACTCTTAACTCAAGAAGAAGAATTTTTACAAATTTAATCTAAAAATAAAACAAACCTCAGGAAGTTAAGGGAGGAATTTGGATTTGCTCCTCACAGCATATTGCAGCTGTGCATTTGGAACATCTCCCCATGAGTGACACCATACAAGTGTGGGAGGTGTTCCTGATGTGCAACTGTAAGTGCTGGGAAATTGGTGTGAGTGCTCTATGAGGAACAAATTCAGATTGGTGTAACTTGAGTTAGTTGAATGCAATGGTTGTTTAGCAAGCTATGAAACCAATGATAACACCCCATGCGTCATAAAATACATGGGGCAAACAAGTGGGAGATTGAATGATGTTGATCCCATGTATTTCATGGCTGGTGTGGACTGTTATCATTGGTGTTATAGCCTACTAAACAGCCATTGCATTCAATTAATCCGATCTTCTCTAAGGCTATATTTGGTTTGAAGGAAAATGTAGGGAAAGGAAGAAAAAGGTAGGGAAACCTTTACAAACCTTCTATTGATTTCCTTGGCTTTCCCTTCCTTTCCCTTCCTTTCCCTACCTTTTCCTTCAAACCAAACATAGCCTAAGTGTACCATTTAAGATGGAGAAAGTGAGGTCGCCTGCATAGAAAAGCCTCAACTACATAATTGAGCTATGGTCAGGGTTCAGGTCTATTCAAAATTTAACAAATGTTAAAAGAAACCCAACCCATTTGCACCACCACCTACCACGACCCCTACCTCCCATTCTTCCAACATGATGTACAAAGAACTTAAAATACCTTGTATTCATCTCTTCCCCTCCATCACCCTACTCTTTAAATAAAAAAAAAGGAAAAAAAAAGAAAGAAGAGCTTAAAATTGATCAATTATTGTAGGCTTATGATTTGCATAAACTTTATATCTAATCTTAGATAAGATAGTCTCCCCTTTGCACAAGTGCTCTTATCCCTTTTCTCGTTGTTGCTTTGGATATTAGATTCAGCTCTATCTGTTCTTTAATAGAACCACTTTATGGGGTGCTACGTTTGCCCTAAAAGACACCCTATAGCCAAATGCTTGCCACACATTTGCATAGAAGCCAATCATCAATAGGAAACCATTATTCTATGATTTGCTAGCACATTAGCAAATCGGTTCTCTGTGCAAGAATTTACAATAGATCGAAGTAATGTATAGGCTAATTTAGTCTAGGCAGAACTCAATTAAAGCTTGACCTTGGAGCAGCAGCTTTGTAAATCATATTAATTGAAAATTGAGGGCTGACATGTAGAGGAGTGGCAATCAGAGTTCATTCACCTTTTTTTTTTTTTTGACAGCCCCCGTCCGGATTTATGGACAGTCATGAAATTTCAATGAAAAACATGTAAATGGTTTAGTACCTGTTTGGGATGATTTCTGGCTTTTCAAGAAAAATTGGGAGAGCCCAAATCAGCTGTAGGGTGCTTTGCAGGTAAGCCCCACCTCACAAAGCCAAAAGCAACGGAATGAAAGCCCTCCCAAACGGGACCTAGTTGACCAGTCTTTTGCTACTGTCAATTAGCATACATTTCTTTCTAATGTAGGGCTTGACTGTATGCCCTAAATTAAATTTCTTTAGGAAAGCAAATAAACAATGAATTTGTGTAAATCTTTAGTGGGATCCAGACATATAAAACATCTTTTCATGGGTCCCATGTGAAGAATATAATAGTTGCATAAACTCTTTTACTAATTTCCTCATTTCTCCATGTTTAAATATTTAAAACATTTTTCTGATAATATGATTGGGAAAAGTTCTGATAAAGAATGCAAGTATCATACCTAAAAAAAATTAATAAACATCACCCAATTGCTAACCAATCAACTGGCACTTGGATTTCTTACCTACAAGAACCCTACCCACACCTATCACACCTATTCATATAACATCACAGCCACACATCGTGAAGCTCCTGTACTTATATATTATCATGCATGGATAGATATTCCCAGTAGTGTCTTGTGGACAGGAGATGCAGAGCCAATCAACTGATATTCTTTCACATTCCGGAATGGAAAGGTAGGATACCAGAACTTTTCCCTTACCAATCCAACCCATTTGAATAAAAGACACTTGGGCCCGGATTGAATGTAGATTTATACTAAGATTAGCAAAAAGATTTGTCAGGTTTGAAGAGGACCAGCCAATATAAAGTGTGGTAGCTGATATTGAATCAACAACATATAATAAATCCATACCAACTCCAACATTAAAATTTCAGTGAGCTTAGATTTCATCATATTGGATTTTGAGGGGGAGATTTACAAAGCTTTGAAGCTTCACTTACACATTAAATTGAAATATATAAACAACCAAAGTAAGGCTGCTCTCTCTCTCTCTCTATATATATATATAGATCTAGAAACAAGAAGGAAATTAAGAAAGAAAAGGCATGACCCACACTAGCTCCCTCCATGTTATTCATTATCAGCAACTACCTCCTCCTTCCTCTTATGTATGAAAGGAAATCAATTAACTGATAGCCTCTCTTAGAGGCCACTAGATCCAATTAACTTGGTTAATCCAAAGGTTATTGCCATAGCCAGCCACCCACCAACTAATACTCTCAAGCAAGACCTCACCATTGGTGCCCTCCCCAACCTAGCCCCTACCCCACCAAACACCAATAATGCCAAGCTAGCAACTGCAGCCACCACCCCCAGCCTCACCTTATGCTGCTTGATAAACGATGCTGCTAGTAGCGGCACCACTGCTCCAACTGAAAATGCAAGCGCCGATGCTGCTGCCGCCTGGATCGGGCTCGGCAAGCGCTCGGTCTCACCGTCCTCCTTGCTCTCTCGATCATCGCCTGTTGCCTTCACTCTCTTCATCTGAGCTCTCTCTATGTCCAGCTGAGAGTAAACTGAAACAAACTCGCCTATGGCCATGCTGCAAGCTCCGGCAACCAACCCAGCAAACCCAGTAAGTATCATGGCCTTGATGTCTTGTCTCACAGCTCCTATTCCCATCATCAGTGATGCTGTGGACACCAACCCATCGTTGGCTCCAAGAACTGCAGCTCGAAGCCACTGTGCTCTTTGGGAGTAATCTAATGACTTCTCCTTCTCCTGGCAGCTGCTCTGCCTCTGCTGCTCAACATCATGATGATGAGGAAGAGCCATTGCTTGATCATGATTTTCAAGGACAGCCATGAAGCTAGGAAACTAGAAAACAGATCAGAAATAGAAGCTGATAGAAAGGAAGAGGAAGAAGAGATGGAGAAGTGTGGATGCCACACCCCCTCAACCAAGGTATTTATGGAGGCAAATGCACTGTAGTGCAATAGTATGGGCACAAATGAAAAGAAATGCCTGTGGACATTTAATAAATTCCGTTAGGCTATGTATATTTCTATTTAGATATCCTTAGCTTAGTTGTATAGTACTTGTTTTAATAAATCTAATTCTTAACCTTTCTACTTTTCTGTAAACAAGAGAAAAATATCAAAATACAAGGAAAAGATCCCTAATAAAGCATTGATTATGGCAATAAATAATATACTTAAACTTTGGCTACATCAACCAAAGCCTTTTCTTATTATTATTTTTTTTATTTTTCGGAACTCGCAAGCAAAGTTAGAAACCCTGCAGAAAAGGAAAAATGCGAGTTCACTTTTTCCCTGCTTTGGACGGTGGATAGAAGAGCCACGTCACCCATGTCTCCAAAGATTCCAAAAATCAAATTGGTGTAACGGTGTTTGCAAAATTATATTCAATTCAATTCTGTCCTTTTGAACCAATAATTACATTCATACGTTTCAATTGAACCATTGGTGGGTTGTGAGATGAATGAAAATGAACCATTGGTGGGTTGTGAGATGAATTAATGAAAATGAAATAGGGGAGAAAAAAAAATAATCCAAGTGCATTTTTGCCATAAAAAAACATGGGCTGTAAATAAATTAGACACTATTACATCCGCATCTAATCCAATTAAGGGTGAACATGGGTTGGTTCAGTTTGGTTTCAAGGTCGCTTCTACATTCTATCCATGGAACCTGTTATTGCAATCATAAAATATTTAAACTTGAATTTCAATAATGATAATATATAGTTCAAAATTTATAATACATTTATTGATTAAATTAATCTATAGATTACCATAATATATTAATATATAGTCTAAAATTTATCATTATGATTTAAATTTTGTAATATTAGCTTTTCCATTATTTATTATAAACATTCAAATATTAAATTGAAGAAAAATCATTAATTGACTTAAGTGGCTTAATGGTCAAGTCAATGAGACCATGGTCTTTGTAATCATGACTGCTTGGATTTAAACCTTTGCATCCTCAAAGTATTTTGATATTTATTTTAAGGTAGTTCAATTCCACCTAGGCCAACCAAGGCCAGTTCTTTTGGGTAGAGTAAACCCTAAATCCTAGAACCCCCATTGAGGCCAGTTCTAAAATACCTGGCTGATTCAAGGCCAATTCCATTTGGTTCCAAGTAGAACCTACCCATTTGCTCACCCCCAGATCTGATTACCAAACATTGAGATCTAAATACAAAAAATTAATCATTTCTAACTTAAAAATGTATATATATATATATAATATTAAATTTGTCAATGATAAAATTTATATAATTGTACTACATATATAATATAATAATATTTCATTGAATTTAAATTTTAATCAGATTAGATAAGATTAAATATGCATCCAATCTAATTATTTATTGAATACAAGTTCTAACATCCAAATCCAAAATAATCGGATTTAGAATCAATTGAACATCAAACTTTAGGAGTTCACTGATAACACTATTAATCAATAAGGTAGAGTGGTTGGTTATGGTTAGTTTTGCATAAAATTAATAGAGCATGTGGACTACTGTTATGGTCACTAGCGTTGACATGGTGGAAGATATATCTTACAAATAAAAGCGACTGATAGAGGGGAGAGGTATTGAAAAGTTAGGGTAAGTTTTAAGAGAATGTTAAAAGGTTAGAGAAGTTTAAGATGATAACCCTATAATCTATCACCTATATTTCAGACAACAAACTCAGCTTGATCAGATCTCTATTAACAATATAGTTGATACTCTATTGTCAACAATTGTAATAGCTCTTATTTTAATTAGTCAAAATTTGAGATCCAACGAACGGCATTTGATGAGATGAGATCTCCTGAAAGCAACACTAAATTGGCTGTGTAGAACCCATTGGAATTCACTCTATTCCAGCAGTTTTAGGCCAATTACTTAAACCTATCTTGTACTTTTTTTTGGGTAAACAGTATAAAAAAAAAAAACTTCCGTTCATGTTTCAAGTAAATATATAGGCCTTCTGTTAAATGTCCTAACAGAGAACTTCAATACGATTGCTTTGAAATTTCATTTTTGTCCATGAGAAATAAATATGCAAATTGCTTTCTGAAAGTCGATAAAAGATAAAAACATGTATAATTTGAAAGTCGATAAAAGATAAAATATGTATAATTTGATAAATATGCAAATTGCCTTAAAAAAAAAAAAAAGAGAAAACGTCGGTAAAACATGTATAATTTGATATTTTTATAACACGGGTTGTAACATTTGATAAACATCACAAAATATTTTTGAAACATCGTAAAAAGTTTACTACGTTTGTGCAGACATCATAAAAGTTTCTGCACCATATGAGCATCTTTCTAACATTCAGGCAACATCATCGAATACAGGAAAATTCTGGATTAGTACCCTTTATTTTAGTGCCATTTGGTTCTTAAACTTTAAAATGTCATAATTTAGTATTCAAACTTTTAAAACGTAACAATCTAATACCTATCGTTAACTACCTGTTAACCAGTCATAAGTGGTATTTGAAAAAAATACAAATGCGTTTCTTCAAGTGTTATTTAATTTTCTTTATCAACCATTTAAATGCTGACAAAAAATTAACAGTTTCAAATCCTTGCCTTTTCCATTCAAGAAAGTTGGGGTCACGTTTGATTGGGCATTCTGGTGACGCCAACTTTCTTGAATAGAAGAGGTAAGGATTTGAGACTTAATTTTTTGTCAATGTTTGAATAGTTGATAAAGAAAATTAAATAACATTCAAAGGGCATTTGTGTCTTTTTCAAATGTCACTTAACAGCTGGTTAACAGCTAATTAATGACAGGTACTGGATTGTCATGTTTTGAAAGTTCAGATACTGAATCATCGCATTTTAAAGTTTGGGAATCAATATGACACTAGGCCCAAAATGCAGGGCACTAATTGAAAATTTTCCCTTTTTATAATTAATATTTGAATTACCCCAAAGACTTTACTTAATTGAGTTTCATTGTTAATTTCATCAACTGAACAATGAAGGCTAAAGTTGGGGTTAAACTTAAAATCCTCCTCTATTAGAAGAAACGCTATACTCAAGCAATCTCAAAAGTGACCAATGGTGTTTACTGTGCATGTTTGCAGCAAGGGATGCAAGTTGAGCCGGGTTAGGTCAGGTTAAATGTTGATTTTTGAAAATATAACACTTTTTTTTTATCTTCTGAGCCAGGTTGGGCCAGGTTAGGCCGGGTTAGGTCAGGTCGGGTTAAGTGTTCATAGGACTTTCTTTTTTTTCTATCTTCTGAGCCAGGAATATTGCAAATTGGATTGGGTTAGGTCACGTTGAGGTCATCCCTAAACTAACTATTTTTCGGTGAATACACCCTCACCCAACCGAAATTGTTGAACCTCCAACCCAATCACATCAGGTTGGGTTGGGCGGATATCTTCACTTCTTTTCTTTCTTTCATAAAAAATGCTTTCATTTCTTAGATTTAGGATTAGTCAATTAAGGCCTAGCTAGGTGGAGTACTGTACTTGTCTCAGTACCAAAAAAAAAAGAAATGTTTTCCTTTAAGAAAACGAAAAAAAAAATATTTCCCCTAAATTAACAGTTATTAATTCACAGGTACATATTTATAAATATTGCCTATTTATGAATGCAAATATGAATACATGTCAAAGTTGTCTAATGCCTCAAACTTAAACTAATTTAAAGTTTTTTAGACTAAAATTACCTTCTATTTCTTTGTTTGAGAAAGGGTATAAAAGTCATTTTATTATAGTTTTAATGTTAGTTTTAATGGCTAATAAAGTGCCCATATTTGTGTATTTAATTCATCTCTAATTGTAAAGGTTCAAATGTAACTTCAATTATTATTTTTCACCCCATTTAATCTCATCAAATTAAGTCTTATACTTAAGGTATTAAATCCCAAATTCTCTTATTAAATTATATATATTAAGTTATTTTTCACTAATAAATGCTACTAATAAGATCTTTGTCAATATTTTTAACAGTATAAATCCATATATTTTAAAATTGACTTAAGAATAAAATCATTCTTTATCCAAGTGGTGGTTAAGCAATTCAACCATCCGAATCAAATTGATCAACTATGAAATCATAGTTAAATAATAAAATTTTTAAAATAAAAATAAATAAAGAAAATTATAGAAAATGTAGAAAAATTAGACACATTTATGTAATCAAATTATTTTTATTGATAATGACAATGAAATACATAGTTTAGAACTGGCTAAAAATGAAATATAAAAATTAATAATAAATAGTTCAACTTTTGGATTAAATGTATTAAACTTTAACGTCAGAAATAAATAATAAAAATTAATATAATATAAAAATACAAAAATACATACATTTTACAAAAAATAAAAATCAGACACATTTATAATATCATATATTTATCATATGAGACAAAAAGTAAGTGTAAAATATCAGAATTAGTTTTACACACAAAAATACAAAAAAAAAACTATAGTAAAAATTGAACACATCTATAATTCTATATTTACACTACTATTAAAAATATGAATAAGATTGTTGAATTTTTTTTTTGACTTAGATACTCATTTTTTAATTTAGTCCATATTTAATTATGAGGTTTAAATTGTAAATTGAATTACTACTTTTCACCACATTCAATTCATTCTAATTAAATCTTACATTTTTTTTGATAAATAAACAAAAAAAAGATACACCAAAAAAATAAAACATTACAAAATGAAGAATCTAGCCAAGAAATAGGGGTGCAAATGGATTGGGCCAGGTCAAGTCGGATAATGTAATCTGATCAAATAGATCGAATTTTGATATATGTGTATGTTATTTATAAAATATTATTTATATTACATTTTTGTATTTAATACTTGTATTTTTTGTTTTTCTTTATTTAAATTTTTATATTTAAATGTCCTTTTAATATTTGATTATTTTTTAAATTAAATTGGAATGATCAT